TTTTAGGTTAAGAGACTTACCCTAACATTCATTTATTCCACACAAGTTATTTAAAATCTTATATTTGTATTGTTATACGTATATATATATACTTACATACTTGCACTAAAATAAGTGAAAATTGTTTTCACACCTAATACATAAATAATCAATCCTAACACAATTGAACACAATAATAATAATTTATTCATTGGTTTTCTTTATTACATAATCATACAACCGTTCAAAAGGATGTTTATGCCTGCGTGATTCCGGAACATACTTGTTTCGGAACATAAACCAACTGATATGAACACCAATAAAACCAGCAGTAAAAATCCATAGAATGTGATTCCCCATTCTCAAAGTATTTGTATTTGGTAAGCGTATGGAATACCAAAATATCCGTTGATTTATGTTGTATATCAAATACAATTTAGGTTAACTATAATAAAATAAACCGCTGTTCAGAAAGTAATGCAACCAAAATTAGATGAATTATAAACTATATGGTATGCTTCAATAGTTACTCACAATGTTTATTATCAGCACGGAATTATCTGAAAAAACATAAACTTCCTTAAGAACTAGAGATTATGATAATGATGCATAACTATGGTACTACCTAGGACCTAGATATATATAGATGTTCAAATTGATTGGATAACCATATTTTATATAATATACTTGAATCTTCTATCAGTTTTATTTTGTGGTATTTAATTTCGTAGTTTTATTCGTCAGTTGTTTATTATAATACAATTATGTAGCTATATAATCAGAATAAAAACAATAAACTTTCACAAATGGCACTTTCAGATGATTTTAGGACAACGCAAATCATTTACATATATATATTGTACGAGAAAGGCGGGAAATCTTTGTTACAATATTCTTGACATACGTCTGTTAATGTTAAGATATAAAATTAATATATATGTATATTTTTTTATTTGTTGTTAATTATACGATATCACTGACAGTTTAAGATTAAAAGAAATATTTATTTTTGCTGTAACACCTAATGTATATAAATATTTGCTTGTATAATTATAATTATGGCTGATGAAAAATTCGTAAAAACAGTACAAAGTACATTTTCTTTATATGGACTTGTGCTTTCAAGGTATATAAATTTATAATATTTGATTGTAAATTTAATCTAATGTAAAAATGAAAATAAATTTTTTCTTGTCTAGGAAACTCAGTATTTCACTTGCTAAAGAACTTTTAAATGTAGAACAAGATGAACGTGAAATTTGGCTTACACGAATAGTGGAACAAGTTTTAACTCAAAATTTAAGTGATCCGCATGTAACAGTTGAAAATCTAAAATCAGCAATACAAGAACAGATAAGACCTGATACACTGAAAAATACAGAAACTGTCATAAATGTTATTGATGTATTTGATGTACCAAAAGTTAAATATGACTTGTCCAAAAAAAAATATGTTTTGACAACTGTAATATCAGATGTGTATCCTGAAGCAGAATATAAATCTGCAATTTTTAAGGACCGATTTAATTTACTTTGGTATAGAACTTTGAGACACGAATTATTCACTCCACCTAAACTTGGTGAAAAGAAAACAGATTGGATCGAATTAGTACCAATTGAATATTTACTAAGTGAAAGCAAAAAAGGAACTGTTTATGTAATGGGTCTTTTAACACAATTAACAGAGGGACAATATTATTTGGAGGACACAGGAGGAACCATAAAAGTTGATCTACAAGGAGCAATATCCTTTTAGTACATCAAAAATAATAACTCTACACATTATTTTTAGATGTAGAATACAAGTACTGTTTTCCTTAGTGTTTGGTCTGTACACAATTTTCAGGATGGCTTAATTATGGAAGCTTCTATAGTAATAGCTAGTGGAGAGTATAGAGATGGCATTTTACATGTGGAGGATTTAGGTTTTCCACCAGCAGAATCATCTAATAATGCACGCTCAGATTTTGGCAATACCAATACATTCGGTGGTTCACACAATCTTTCCTTAAAATATTCAGAAAAACTAAAATCTCATGAAGAAACTAACAAAGATGGAATGATTGTCTTTGTGTCCGATATGTGGTTAGATGATTTAACTACTTTACATAAATTCAAAACTATGTTAGAGGGATATTCAGAATATCCACCTATTGCTTTTGTATTGTGCGGGCGGTTTTTAAGTTTTCCGACAAATATATCTAGCACACAGAAATTAAAAGAGGGACTAAAAGATCTTACTGATATCATAATGCAATATTCAAATATAAAAGAAACTTCTAAATTTATTTTTGTTCCTGCATCAGATGATGTAGGAGCACCAAAAATTTTACCAAGATCACCACTTCCAAAGCATCTGACAGAATATTTTAAAAAGAATATACCTGGAGCGATATTTGCCACCAATCCATGTAGAATTCAGTATTGTACAAAAGAGATTGTAGTATTCAGAGAAGATATTTTATCGAAAATGTGTAGAAATACACTTCTATTTCCACAAACAGGAAATATCTATGATCATGTAAGCTTTATTATGTTATTGTTTATTTGTGTATATTTCTTAGAAGTTCATTATTTTATGTTAAATTATATTCATATAAAATGCGTTAATTTAGTGTTTAATATTTCAGTATGCTAAATCAATTATCTGCCAATCACATTTGACCCCTTTAAGTCTATCGATCATTCCTACATATTGGAATTACGATCACGCGTTACAGTTATATCCTACTCCGGACCTCATTGTATCCGCAGACAAATATGAGGCCTATGAGACCACGTACTCTAATTGTCATATTATCAACCCTGGATTATTTCCAAAGAACGATCATTCGTTTAAAGTATACGTTCCAGCACTAGATTTAATCGAACATTGTGCTATTCCTAAAGATATGGATGATGTTTGATCATTAATTGTATTTGAAGTTAAAAATAAATTAAATAATGGTAAATAAGGTACTACAGTAAGGATTTTTTTGTTCAGGAAATTCAATACCTATTTAAAAAACTTTCACTTTGCTATGAACAATTACATGCCAATTTTATACAATATTTATTTTCACATCACAATTCTCATCAATTTTACAATACTTCAAAAAATGCGCCTTCAGTTTATAATTTAATCCACAACAATTTTCATTACTAAAATAAAAGCATATTAAATTAAGTTCGATCATTGAAAATAACTTAATCACTCGTTGAGGATACTGGGCAATTTGTTGGTCCTTCATGTCCAATGATACAACGAAATAGAATCGAAGAATAATTTACTAATGATATTCTTATGATCGAATATGTTTAATATTATCAACATAATACATCTCAGTAAAATTCAACACTCTTTTTACTTCTCTCTCAGATTGACGAACAAAGCTGTATATCAGACTTTCTATGTGGGACACAGGAAGTACGCGTTTATTTCGTTCTTTTTTTTTTCCTTTTTTTTCTTATCGATTTATATAAATAGATACATACAATATTAAACACATGTGTTTCTACCTCTTCGCAATGTACATAACAATATTACAGGTACAGACTGGGCCCCGGCATATTTCAATTCACTGCGCTGGAAGCATAAGTCAATTACTGGCCGTTTAATCAAATATTAGTATAAGGATTATAACTTTTTAGAACAACGCATAACATATGAGAGATGTAATAATAAATCGTGACAGTAAGATTCGCGATACCAGCTGTACAGAAGTTAAAGGGAACAAATTTATTTATGTAAATTTAATAAGACAACTTTTTTCAGCAAATTTTACGATAGAAACATTATTTTTATTATTTTAATCGTTCTCTTTCTCTATCACACAAAAACATTCACTCTCATCCTAACACACATATATATGCACTCTCGTCCTCTCTGTACACTATATAATTTCAGCAATCGTATATAAATTGCGAGTGCTACAAGAATTTTTGTTAGTGCTCCAAATATTGGAAGCTAAGTATCGTGTCGATATAACGAACAAATCTTCAATTGTGGCAAGCGAATGTTAAACTTTTATTTCTCAAACGTTCGATTAGAGTGTGTGAGCGTTAGAGTGTTAGAAAAAACGGAGATTAATAATTAATATGTATAATTGTGAATTGTAAGAGCTACGCGCACTTACTCATCGAAATATATTACAGTGCCGCCATATAAAAAAAGAAGAACGCGCTTACATCTATTGCACATCCTTAAATCTTTATATACTCCAACATCCGTACCTCCTGCAATCTCGACTACATCATAATACAGAATAATACATAATAGTTTATGTACTAGTGCTTTTTTCGTGTAACTATGTACAGGTGTATAAGTTTAGCTAGTTGAGTTACAATTTCAGTCAACGGACGGTGTAACGGTCCTTTAGACTCCATGTCTCACGAATTCTCTTTCTTCGTGTGTAATGCTACTGAAATCACATTATTAAGTCAACTGATTAGTTCAAAACAGCCAAAGTTTCTTGTCAAATACTTTACATAATTTACTGCTTAAATGATCTATAACTATAAAATTGAAATAACATTCTTCATGCAGTTTACCAGATAAGTTATACATATTAATAACATTGTTAATACCTTTGGTGCAAATAAATAATTTTTTTTTTTTTTTTTTTTTTTTTTTTATATTATACCCACGTTCTCTTTGATATCTTCGGCAAGCTTCATTCCTTTCGTCGGCATCGAAGTACCACAGAGTGATTGCATATCTGGTTTTGTATGCTGGCTGTACCTCGTGTGGATTTCTTCTGTCGGACCAAAAGAACAGTATTCTGTCGAAGAGAGGTTCGATATCCGCCACTTGATCGCGCCAACCTTCTGGAAATATCCTCAAGAGGCCGCCGTTTTTCTGTAAACACCAAAATTGAGCATAAATTATCATAAGCCACTGCAAATCTCCACCTGAAACAACAATATTTAATTACTCTCTGATCATTGAAAATATTACATTTGATACAAATCTTATTGCAACAAAAAAATCCAAGATAATTATGAATAATTTTTATGCTTAATGTTCCATTTTTATTATCCGCCAACAATTTCTTTGATATTTAGTAATACTATAACAATGAATTCAGTAATAATCATTTTCCATGGCTTCAATTAAAATTCAACTTGAAAAGTAAAAATTTTAATTTAAATAAATTTAATTAGTAAAAATTTGAATAACTATAAAAGAAAAAGTGCTTCCAAGTTCTCGATACAGCTAAATTTGAAAGCATTTAAAATGAAAAATTTTTCTCAGTCTTAAACTTGTTTAAGAAAAAAGTGAATAAATGTGACGGTTTTACGCAAATTCGTCAAATTTATTGCACGTTTCGTCCGGAAAAGTATATATGTTTATGCACGAGTACAAGTAACAGACGCACAATATCGTGCGTGATATTTTACGTCTGGTGCTTTTAGACTTTTCAAGGCAGCACGTGTTTAAACAGCCCCTATTTTTCGTGTAGGTCAACGTAAACATTGCTCAACACAAAACTGCCATGTATGTGCGAGATGAAAAAGCATTACATGAGGCAGCTCACGTAGGCTCTGGATGCCCTTCGTGCTCTGTTACTTGCCCTTTCCCAGAATGTCCTTACATTTAAAACTCACACATTTCATGGTCACGCGTGGCAGAGTCAATAAGCCACAACAAAGAAACCATGAAAACGAGTATCGGTCGCGATACTTGACACACTGTTACTTTACAATAATGTATTTTACGATATGAATATACTGAACATAAAAATAATACAAATCTACGTTATTAATTGATATTTTATTCTCGTTCTTAATTTGAAATCATTTAAATTCGCATTTTATGTTCAATTACGATATGTGTTAAATTTATTATTTTCTAATTAGCACGTATCTTGCAAATGAGAAATATTTTAAAAATTAATCCTGCAATTTATAACGTGGCGCTAATGATGCGTCATAGTTTTATTCATTCATGCATGGTATATTTTAAAATAAATAATTTAAAATTAGTAGTGGCATAAATTTGAAGTTTAATAAATTTATGACACTGTAAGAATTTGTATCTTCAAGGGCAATCTACAAATTAAGGTGAACAACAGACGTTCAATTTAATGTACATAAATTACAACGAAAGTTTAAAATGTTACAAAAATGTTAAAAAGACAGGAAGTTATATCATCTGAACGGCAGAATACAAAATGGCCTTGACTGTTAAACTTCATTTTTTCCACCTGTTTAGCTATCTGTGACTAATCGAAAGTAGAAATTTTTGGAAGTATTACGTATTTCACGAAATCATCCAAATGAGGGGAAATTTCATAAAACATCGTTCGAAGAGATGACCTAGTAAACTGTCTCTTACCTCGAGGGAAATTCATTTTTAACGCGCGTTTCTTTTATTTCAATCATCGTGGACCGTGGCATACTCTTTGTAAATACAACACAAAAGAAAAATTTAAGTATTCTGTAAAAATCATTTACCAGTGTTACTGGAACAATTTCTATTTTCTTAAACTGTAAATTGCAATCTATCGATGAACCGTGAAATTAATACAAAGAATCGAAATAATCAAAATACATAAAATATTCATATCACGACTAACCAGTGTTTTCCCTTAAACAGTAAATATGTCCATAAAAGAATAGAAAAGGAAAAAGGTATATTAATTTTTGTAAGTCTTCGATATATCGGTTATTTAAATTTTCAAGAACTTTCGAATAATGAAGGTGACACGTATAATTTTCGAATAAGAAACTTTACGTTTTTCGTGCCATACAAAAATGATTGTCATGACGAATTTAATAATTTATGTATAGTACTTCTCATTGACAAGAATACATAACCATGATTTTCACGTTGCAATATTACGAAATGCTCTTTTCCTCATTTCTAGCTTCATGTGACTTTGTAGTGCTTATATTAATGTGCTTTAATATCGTTGAATTATAAGAAAGAAATATTCAATGGTATCAATATGATTATATTGCATCGAAGATGTAATCGATGCATCTTTTACGGTGGATTAGAAAAATTTGAAAAATACTGATGTGGAAAATAATGGAATACTGAAATAGGATGATTAAATCGATCCTTACCTTGATATCCCAATCTCGGTTAAGATAGTATATAGCGGTAATGCACCGTCCATCTCGATTAGGGTTGTCCACGTGTTTCACGTAATGCGAACCGTAACCAGGGTAACAAGCCACCATCGCCTGAAAAAGAATGCGCCGCATTACGTTAACCGAGGAAACTGAGTGTCCTTGCGGACAAGTGCTTATATGGATGGCTATCGAACAATCACCTAGAATGTTAACCTGACGCGTTCTCTGAATCATGTTCTGAGAGAAATCGATCAGCAAATATATACGTGAAGCTACTGTGTGTGCGTTTTTTTTTTAAAGGCGGAAAGATACGATGATCGTGTAGCAAGAAATAGTCTTTTATAACCACGTATGGGAGACAATTCTGCCTTCCTATCTTAGTTTTACATGAATTATTTTAAATTATTAATAAAAAGATTGTCAATTTAAATTATTAATGTCAAGTCAATTTGAAATTGAAGTTAATTTTGAAGTTTATATAAAAGACTGAATTTAAATTATTAATTCTAGATTAATAATGTAAATTCAATTTGAAATTGAAGTTAATTTCAAAGTTTATTTGAAAAATTGAATTTATATTGATAATATAAAATTCCCCAATTCCCTAACATATACTACATAATACATACATTTCTGTGAACATAAATTAATTAATAATTTTAAATTAAATAATAATTTTTTGAAATTAAGAAGGAAAATAGCAAGAATAACTGATCTCGGAAACGCAAGGTGGCAAGAATACAATGTCACGACTAATAATTTTGTATTATCAGAAATTAAATAGACAACAGGATATTTATAAAACTTCGAATGTGTTCTTCTCGAGTTCATGTGATATTATCAATGACTTTGAATCACTTTTTTTTTTTATAGAAAATTCGTTTCTGTTGATAATTATCAAATGCCTAAAACAAACGTGGATAAATTGGCGCTAGACCGTATCAATTTGAAAATTAGACAATTCTGTTTATATTTCTGGCACATCTTGAGCTTAGAATTTAATTACGATAACAGTCGTCAAATATTTTCAACCGATAAGGTTACCATTTTCAAAAATATTTCAGTAAAAATACAATAGTATAATACTTTCAGAACTTTAATCTGTATTGATTAACCAGACATCATTGATAACACAGAAATATAGTAATTGAAATGATATAATAATACTTTACTAATTTTAATCTGTGTCTGCGATCATTTTCTATAAGAAGAATGTGTATTCCGGATGAAATTTCTTATCGACAGATACACTTTTAAATAACACATTTTAAAAATCGATTATTTTGCAATAATTCAACAATTTTAAAATTATTTATTTGTTCCTACTTCTTATATTTTACATTTAATATGGATGAAATGTACAGATACCAAACATTTATTAATAATGAAACTACAATTATTAATATTGAAGTCTAAATGGTAATTGCAGCTATTTCGTGTTACCCGAAATATAACGGCAAATATGGCTCGAAATTTGATATGTACGTATGTGTTAACTTTACTGAAACGTACTCAGAATATTATATACAGTACGTCATTGTGAATAAAACATCGAGCACGTTTCTAACTTTTGATGAACAACACATAACGGAAAGCAACGACAGACTTCCTATTTCAGTTTCTTTGTTTTCAACGAGACCAAAGTTACATGAACTTACTAGCACACGTTTTCGTTCTTCACATGTTATTTCGTTATCTCGTGCTTCGTACTGTTTAGATAGAAAAGACTAGTTTTCTTCATACAGCAACTTTTACTTCTCTGTTAACAATTTTTTTCTTTATCCATTGTTTTAGTAAAACAACTTTTGTAACGATTATGTTAAAAATGATTGAAACAAGTGTGTTGGAAAGATTCATTTAGTGATTTTACGTTGAAAAAATTTAGAAAAAATATGAACGATTTATAAAGAATATTTGACTAGGTGTACAAAGAAACACGAAAAAGAATTAATAATGATTTGTGATTTTTCATTTTATAGATAAACAAAAATTGACCAGATTTTAGTACATAATTACATCGATATTTTCATTTTATTAAAATTTACATCGGTATTTATAAAATTCAAGGTACGATCTAGAAAGCAATAAATTTACAAGTTTTTGGTACTAAATAAAAAATTCTGATGAAAAACAGAGTTGCTAATTGCTATCATTACTATGAAATGAACGACAGATCTTTTATCCCACTGTCTTCTGGTATTTGAAAGTTAATTGAGTTATAAGAATAATTATGTGACACTCTGATAACAATTTCCTACGATTTTTATAACCACGATAAATTGTATATATATGGTGGTGTCGACAACCTATATAGATAGTGAGTGCAACCGTATAAGACAACGACCGACTTAGCATGAAATCGAAATAAAATTCTCCTTTCTTGTAACGGGTAAATCGTGTGATTCACAAGTTGCATGTATTTATGTAAATGTGTGCCTAAAAACAAGGATTCAGTTTGATAGTTTTGCGAATGATATTGTTTCCTGTTAATAGCCGTATTAAAGTTTGCAACATTTTTTGTTCAGGAATATTTGTCAGGCAAAATGACACGATTGTAAGAAAAACACCTCTAAAGAAGTAACGTTACTCATTTCTCATTCAACACTGTACGTACATTTTCAAGTGGTTTACATACATTTTCTTACAGCAGTAAGATGAAAAGTTAGATGCTATTTGCACAATGTTGATACTTTTTGAAACCAAGATTGTATAAAGTAAAAATACTTTCGAAGTTTCAATTTCTACAAAACTAATTAACAAAATATTTTAATAGTGCACAAAGACAAAAGAAAAAGGAGAAAACTTTCCATTACAAGATTTAATTCTATCTCCTACTTTAGTCTCTGACATTTACCGAAGGAGAGTTATTTAAAAATCTAATATTTTGGAACACTTAGGATATTTTAATATATTTACACACTCCTTACTAAACTAAGTAACTTTTGTTTGAAGCGTTTCTCAAAATTTTGCACGTACCAGAAGTTATAATGCTTTTAATTGTCTTGCATACATCACATATCAACACCACAGACAATTCAAACCGTTGTAACTTTTGATACGTGCACAATTTTGAAAAACGTTTCAAACAAAAGTTACTTGTTTTTTTAAGAACTATGTAAATATATAAATTTTACCCGACATTCCATTAAAAAAATTGAAGTTACCCTCCATTCCCCACGCTTGGAGTAACACTAGATTTTTCTTTGCTCGCATACTATAAAAGGTCCCTTCATACGATGAAGTTTAAAAACCAAAAATCAAGTTTCTTGTGGTTTGTAACAAATTTCATGAAACACCCTGTATATTAGTACTCATATATTCGACCCGTCGTTTAATCGAAACGTAGACTTTTATAAAATTCAAATATCCGTAAGAAATGCATTGACCAATATTAAAAACTTATTACAGATCCAACTTAAAACACGTCTATAATACTGCAAGTGAAAAACAAGAACGAATCCAAAAAAGGAGTAAATGACACTGTGACATTCGTGTTTGTAGAATGAATAAAAGCGCCAATTTCGGAGTTTAAATACGAGGAAAAACGATATGGAGGCTCTAAAATATTACTGTGAACAGAATATTGCCACAGCCAGACGTATCAATGAAACTTTAAATAGCGGAGCAGTCAGAGGTCCGTGAATGCGAGCACGTGCACAAAAAGGGCTGCGATAGTCTCTATAGGGAGGGCATACAAATCGTTTCTTAGCCTTGACACAAATAGCGTGTTAACCTTGGCATTACATTCGTGTAGGTGTGTGTACTTTCATATAACCCACGGAACAACACACGCCACGTGAATTTTTTCTCCTCGTTTTGTAATCCGGAAATACTGTTGTGTCCATCATTACTCAGAAAATTCGTGAAATCTTCTTGAAGTGAAAAGACTTATCATATTTTAAATACATAGCTAATACTTTCTTTGTTGAAAACAATCTTTCACGTTTCGAGTATTTTTACGACGACTAAATTTCCAGCAATGCGATTATTAGAGGATACGAATGTTGAAGAAAATGAAAAAAACATATTATTATTCGGAGCGTGTTAACTGAAGTAATTAATGAATCATTTATTTGGAATGTGATGTACAGGGTGGGCGACGTAAAACAGGCCACTTAATTATCTTCTCTAGCTATGGTGATACGAGAATATTGTTATGTGTAATTTAAATTATTCCATGGGACCAAGATGGAAGAATTTTTTATAAATGCCATTTTTTCTGTTTTCTTTTTTCTCAAGATTTTTACATGAATGTATACCTATATCTTTTTTCTACTGTACGTTGTAGCAAGCATTTAAATATTCATAATAATATGGACTCTAATAATTTTAAATTACGTATCATTACGAAATCATTTAAATTACGTATAAAAATTTTCTCGTACCGTCATAACTGGAGAAAATAATTAAATGGCCTATTTTAAATGGCCTATTTTACATGGCACACCCTGCATATTACGGAGTGTAAGAAATTTATCTGAAGTATAACAAGGTAACAGAGGTAAATATTTCATTCTTCTTTTAACTAATCCCAGCAATTTCGAGGAAATTTGCAAAGATTTATTTCCAGTTTTAACCTATATACAATACAAATTTACACACGTCGAGAGTTTCTTTTAACTATGATACTTATTCTAAATGATCCAGTAAAATCTTTACAATATTACACTAAAAAATATACAAGACGTTATTAACCCCTTAACGTATGATTTCTTTTCTGACTATGCATCTAAGCGTCAGCCATTTTATATTTTAGTACTGTATCAGGAAACAAAAGCTAATCTGTTACAGATTAATTACATTTAGTAATCATCAGTGTTACAAATTAAAACGAAAGTTAGGATTGCAATGAATTTTTCTTACTAATGCAACTATTTTTGTCACTTCTTCACCAGAATCTCTGCCACGAGTTTAACACGTTGTTGTAGGTTAAGGGGTTAACCCCTTGACGTATGATTTATTTTCCTGACACTGCTTCTAAGCGTCGGCTATTTACTGTTTCAGTACTATATTAAGTAAGAAAAGCTGATGTATTCTAGATTAATTAAATTTGGCAATCTTTAGTTTTACAAATTAAATCGAAAATTGAAATTAAAGTTCACTTTTGTTAC